AGTGACTGAGCTTCCCTTTGTGACTGGTAAATACTTTGATTAAAACAAAGTAATACACACAGTGAGCCACAGCAACCATGTCATTTCCTTTATGCTTTATACTTCAGTCTTGTGATCTTGCAGTTGCGAAAAAGAGAGAGAGGCGTATCAGAATATATAGCAAGAAACAGTGCCTATTGTGCATGTGGAATTGTAACATTAGTATTGGCATTCAAGGTGAATATGATATGATGTGATGTTGCCAAGCATTTAGCAAGAAGGCAAACATTGCTGATGTGGTCACAACCACCATTCAGTGCAACAAAGACAGTTTAAATATTGGAAAACCACAGTCACCTGTCATTCTTAGCATTTCCCACTCTTTGTGTCTCTCATCCTTGTTCCAAAGGGTATTTCAATTTTTTCTGGGGTTTGGGAGGCCCAATCTTAAAGGGTGTGTTTCTCCAAGTGTATCTAATCTTATTTTAAATCTAGGGTCAGCCAACCTACACATTGAAAGTAATAACTAATATATGGTGATTTCATCTCTCTCCTATCATCAAAGAGTAAAATGAATACTCCCCTATAAAGTTTGAGACACCTGACAAAGTAACTGTTAACTGTAGAAAGAATTTTGAGACACCTGATGAAAGAACTGTTACCTGTTTGTTTACATGAAATTACCTGTAATTAATCGCCCAGATTCACCTGTCATGTATCATCTTGTCATAATGATGTGTAATCATTAGCTTGAAATTTAGGGGATCTTCTATGATTTTGATACACCTTGACAGCTTTATCTTAATTTTTCAGTGTTTGGTTATCATTAGCATGGTTGCATGGTCAATCTCCTGAATGCTGCATATGTTTGGAGTTGTTTAACATAAGAACATAGAAACCAGTAGCCTAGTAGAAGTACATAAAGCTCTCTTTTAAGGAAGTGAAAAAAAGATAGATATATAATTGTGAAGCCATTTAATAAATATATACTAATATAATTTTATCATTTAATACACAGTTTTATAAGTAAATAGAACTCTTCTGTTACTGGATCACTTTTAGAAATAGAACACTTCGCTAGTTGAAGTTATTAAAAAGCCTTTTGACCCATTGACTCCCAAGTTAGTAGAATACCTCCCTTAGGACTAAAATATATGCAAGACAGATAGTAGAAAGTGTTTATATGAGTCTTTTAGAAATGTGTGGGTTTGATGTAAAATGATGCTTTAAGTATACATTTACATGTGAACTGTGAATGTATTGTAGGAAGGTATTAATATATCATAGCTGAATATCTGTCGGATATTGAATTGTTTGATTGGATATTGTGGAGTCAATTTAATTACATTGTTCAACCAATTGTGTATGATATACTATTGTTGTATTCTAGTAATATGTTGTAATAAGAATAGCATTCTTAACATTGATCAATAATTAGGACATGGAATTATTACACGAAAACCTGTAACAGATAATGTTCAATGGAAATCAGGTCTGAGAGCTGGTATTGTTATTGAAGAATTTACATTTGAATATAATATCCCTGGATTAATTAAAATCAATGATCACACGTGGATTTTAGACAAAAACTGTGAATTGAATCTGACTGAACTGAATTGACTTCTCCAAGCAGGACAGATGTTGAGCTTCGGGAGATCAAAAATCTGAAATATTTCAGTTTTCATATTTATTAAATTAGGATTACCTGACGATTAAAAGAGCCGTGAATTTTTAAATGAGATTGAGATTTCTTTGCAACTGGATTAGGATTATATACGGACAATAGATTTTTGATAAAGTAAAATATTATCGTGTTTAGAATTTCAAAATGACAAAGATAAGTTGGAGCGACATTGTGCAGTTCCAAGGTATAGTAACCTCACTTAGAATTATACTGTCATTCGTATGAATGTTATGTTTGCACTGAAACGCCATCTTAGAATTCTGGAAATTTTTGATTTTTCAGTTGTATTTATTCATTTTTGTTTCTTTGTAAAATAGAATATCTCTTATATAATATTTTGTGTATTCTACTTAAATCGTTGAATAGGTTCAGTTAACTAGATCCATCAATATTTTATGTTAAAGGTCCATCCATTTATAACAGAAAAAAATTTGTCCTGAAAGGGAATTCTTATAACATTTGAACTTGAACAGAGAACACTTATATCTGGAATGCAAGTAGGTAATATGTATACAACATCAGTTCATGTTACATTATGTTAACCCAGTATAACTCTACATCTAACATGAATTATGATGAGCAAAAATGTGAGGCGTATTTTTATGTGCACCTTTTGGAACAATTTCTTTTTGATCACTCAAATTTTAGCGTACCATAATGATGCAGTATATTTTGTATTTCAAAAGAGGGCTTCTCTTAATTACGTGAGGAATATCAGACTATCAGTTGAATGTACACACTAGTCTTACATCAAGCCCCTGGTTCCCATGTCATATATTTCCCTGTACAGTGATCTCCCCAGCATTATAGCAAGTGGGCACAGCACCCACCTGAGATTTTGAAAACATGCTTGCACCCACCTGAAAATCCATTTGCACCCACTTGAAAATGAGAAAAATCATGAAAAATAGGCATATTTTTGCCAATTTTGGTCTGAATTGACAACCAGGATTTCGCACCCACTTTAGAAAAAATCCTGTGGACACCACTGCTGTATATAAGAAGAAGGAGGGGAAACTGAATGCCATGATGCCAAACAACTTATTCAGATTTTAAGGGACAAATTCCAATTAGAATAGCATACAGTAAAACCTGTATAATCCGAACGCCATTGGGACCGGCTAAAAGCGTTCAGATTAGGAGGTGTTCACATTTCAAGGTTTTTTCATTCGCAATATTCCGGATTCTGAAGAAATGTGAACACATTCTCGGTAAATATTTATAGTTCTTTTGACCACATAACTTTATGGCATTCCAGAAATTTGAAAATTCAATTCAAATGAATCAAGTCATGCTGGAAAGACACATTATTATTGAGACCATTCAAGATTTTTTCCAAAGTTTTGATATCATGACAATATCTGAGCAATTTTGTATGAAACATCAGAAATTTTATGAAAAGTGTTCAGATTAGACAGATGAATTTTTCAAATCTGACTGTTCACTGTTCAAATTGAGAGGTGTTCATATTTCAAGGTTTTTTTAACATGGGAGTCAATGGGAGGAAAAAATGGGACCGAAGAAAAGTGTTCAGATTAGGAGGTGTTCAGATTAGCCAGGTGTTCATATATACAGGTTTTACTGTATTAGAATTTATTTTAACAAGCAGAAACCTTTCTGGAACATTTGCTATTTTACGGTTTTATGATATCATATCACTTGCTTTAATATGTTTTAAAAAAGCTCACCAGATTCTTTGTAATAATAGGGCAATTTCGAAAATATTGTCTAATAAGGAAAAGCAAAGGCAAAAATAAGGAGAAACCGAGAAATAAGATGTCATGGTTTATCATGATGTAAAAATGATGAGAATTGATAATTTTAACATAGAGATGATCCCCTCAAAAGAACAAACCATTTTGGTGAAAATAAAAACGACCAGGGAAAATTGCTTATTGACTCCTACCAATGAAATCCCTGCTATATATATTGAAAAAAGTGTATAATCAGGTACATGTACTTAAGATTGTAGACTATGTGAACCTACCATTTGAGTTTAACTATTATTTAACCCTAACATAAAACATCACGGTGCTCATCTAAAATGTAAGGTGTCATTTTAACATGTAACATTTTGCAAGAGATATACCAAGTAGGTATGTTGGAAAAATGCTTAAGAAATCATTAAATACATTTATTATTTTTTGTAGAGAGCTTGAGTCTGGTCAAGATGACCCCATCTGACATTTTGAGCACAGTGGCTATCAAGTCAGAACATCTTGACTTTGTTTTACATTTGTATTTTTTTCAGATAACCAACGGATACATCTGTCAACTACTCAATACACCTTCTCAACTTATTTTTACAGAATTTAACTATAATATAGTATTGTGTGCAGCCCCAAGAAAATGTGGCTTAATGTTGGTTATTGTCCCATATAAATAAAGTCTTTTTTGGTGCTTTACAAGTATATAAAAATGATTTGACATAAAATCTAAATATGTTCTTGTGTGGTTGAATTTGCCTCAATCCAGTCAGTTTCTCACATAATGTTTTCTATAAGCTGTTGATTTTGAGTTATGTTATGATTTTTATGATGCAGTTATATCGATCGCTTGATATTGCATACAATCTATAGGTTGGTCAGGTTGCCTTGATATACTGTCATAGTAGCTTTATGAGCTTGAGTCCTCTAGGAGCCTTTCTCCTTTGTGAGACAATTCATTTCTTACTTTGATTCTAGTTTTTATGTATAATATTTATGTTATCATATTCCAATGTTATAGCCAATTTTGCAGAGCCTATTTTGCTTTTGAGCATGTTTACATATCTGAGTTCATATGCTGTAAAACATGTTAATTTTTCTGAGCTATTGGTTTTTACAGTACATATATAAATGTTTTTATCCCACATAAGTCACTCCATCTGGTCGTCTGTCTGTTTGTCTTTCCTGACGATAACTGAAGTATTGGCTGTTGGATTTGATTCAAATTTTGTAGGACTATGCCTATTATGGGCATATCTGCTTAAAAGGGAATTCTCAATATAGCCACCTTATTCAACTTTGCTGCCATTTGATGAGAAATGTAATCTTTTATAACTCAAATACTGGTTAAAAGATGGGTTCAAATTTTATATGCTGATGCCTGAGGGAATCAGTAAGATTGCTGTTCTGGGGATATTTTCTAGTTTATACGACAGATATGCTAAAATTTACTGATGGTTAAATTGAATTTTTCAAATTCCAAACAAATCATTATACCACATTTATCATGGATAAAATTATGAAAAATATTGAATTAACAATGCTACTGAAAAATGAACATGTTTTACAGTAAGCTGTTTTTGAATGTGAATGATTGCATGTTTAGTATTGTTTTCTGCATGTCACTTCAGATTGTACAACTGACAAGAAAGAGCAAAACAACATAGAAGCAGGTATATATGCTCTACTTTACACCATCGACTCTGAGGACACCGATTAATAATAACATTTAATGTGTTAATATTTTCTATTTAGGCAGCATTAACTGATTTAGATACTAACATTGATTTAGACATTAGTATCTAGTCTTGCATCAAGTCTGTTTGTCTAGCTTTCTACTTTGCTTCTGTTAGATGTAGGGGGATTGGAGGGGTCAGTTTAAACAAATTTTTGATGCAAGACTATTTGTACTGAGAGCTTGCTTCGATTAGAGGTTGGGGATTTATAGGAATAATCGAAGTCACAAAATGCAATTCCCTTATACCAGGGACGTCCTGCGCTATTCCTCTAATTTTGATCAATATGTGGAGTCCCTATTCCATTTATATATCACATGCACCGCATAATCATATAATCCCAAGTCACTTGATACATCTTACATGTTATTCACTCACTGCATTCATTTACTTCACACTCTCACAATCACCTACCCTGCGTGCAGAGTCTAGTTAAACTACAGAAGACGGAGCTCTCTTTTAAGAAGTGAAGTCGAACGAATGCAAAGGGTAACAATCACACAGATAACAACTCACATTCATTTATATACACACACCCCACTAACTCACATTCACTTATATGTTACTTAAGGTACATACACCCCACTAATCCATGGTTTTGAAATAAACTTATTCAATCCTGACCAAATTTGTGACTAACATTTTATAGGTTGAACAATTTGAATCAATGTTGGACATGGTTCTTGGTATCTACAGTCTGATGCAAAGCTCCAAGAATTCCCCTGTGATCTTCTATTCATTTTACATGTGCCATTTAAATAAATCAAATGTTTTCCTTGGGCTGTGAACTAGACTGGCTTATGTGAATGATACTGCATTTTTACAGCTCATCAAGTTAACTTTAAGATTCATCTTGTCTGTGTTCCATAGATAGTAGAACAAAAATGGTTTATATTTTAGTTGATAAGAAAGCAATTCCGAAGAATTCTTTAACTATTAGAATGGTTAATCTACTGCTCCATTTAGGAAGTTTATTTTGAAGATCAGTCTCACAGTGAAGTCTAAGTAGTAGTATGTTTATACAGAGAATATTCTTCAACATTGCTGTCTTTCAAACATATCTCCTCAAACACTCTAAAAAAACATCTTGAATGGTTTATGAAATGAGAGAAATTTCCGCCTAGGAAGTTAACAATTTAAGGTAGACCAAGAATGAGTGATCTGATTCTTTAAGATGTATAGTAAAACATGTCTTAGTGAACACCTCTCTCTAGTAGACACGTGTGCATAGTGAACATCTCTTCAAGATACATTTTACATTGACTCCTGTATAAAATCCCCTCTATGTAGCAAACTCTTGCGTACAGTAAACATATGTGTTTACTATATACAGGTTTACTGTAGTCTTAATAATCAGATATGTCCATTCCTGATGTTCACTTAAAAAGAAATGTTTATAGGAGAAAATGTGTGCTCACTTGAGAAGTGTTCAATTGAGTGAGATGTTGAATTAAGAGAAGTATTCGTGTGTTCTATCAAGAGCAATAAATCCAATAATACATTCATTAGTGAGGTGTTCCCACAAGTTGTGACCATATTGTTTATTTTTGTGGACAGTGTTCAGCTCAGTGTTCAACGTCTTTAACGAATGGCAGGTTGTGATATTTTGTATGTTAATACCTTATACCTAAGTTAATATAGTGGTGTGGTCATATTTAGAGGTGGTCAAAAAGTTTGATATATGAGAGCCAGGATTGGCTTTGAATTCTTGAAAACTGGCAAAGGTAATATGTGAAGAGATGACATAGTACACATGGTGTGCATCAAGTATACCCGTGATTTCCTTATAAACGTACCTTTTTTTACGGAATATATTATAATATTATTTCTTTATTTGCAAGGGTTATTCCAGACAGCAACATTACATATTACAACCCTTACAAAAAATTGAGAATTTCTTTAATATCGTTGAGCTATGAAAATCTAGTGTCAAGTAATTGATAAGCTTCATTTGTTATCTCAAAAAATTATAAAATCAATATAGAGAAGTTCAGTATCTCAAAGATAATAGTAGTTGACACATATTGTTGTAAGGGACATCATTTCTGCATTGTGGGACTCTGAAACACATGCTAATGTATACAATTCTTCAGACTCTTTGAGTGCTGTATCAGGAAGGCATAAAAACAATTTGGAATAGTTATTGCGATTAATAGCTAAAAGACATGCTGCAAGTTGAAGCACTACTGCTTGAGTCTGCATGAAATCTAGGATAAATTACGCCATTTAGAATTGTTGAAATATTTGGATTATTTCGGAATTTGGATTCACCGGGGATGGAACGGAATCGATCAGAGCAGACTCATTTATCTGCAACGCATCATCAAGTAAGGATATAGAAAAACTGATATTACGATCGGGTTCATATATTCAGGACATTTGGTCTGGCTGTGTGGCTTCTATTGATTTTATGTCATTGAATTGATCATGGCTCTGCTATGCTAGGTTCTTACTTAAATTATTTGTCTCCAAGCGTACATATTCTATGCTATTTCACAAAAACATGAATGAAGGTTCTGACCATCTGGCATTTTAATACAATTCTGGGACTTGGTTATTTCTCAGTTTTCTTTATTCCTTGTCATTTCCACTTACTTTCAATGTATATTTGAATATTTGACCAACAAGGTGCTTTGTTATTTTTTATATAAGGTAAAATCTTAGATAGGTATTGAGAGTAGAGCTAATTTCCAAGAGAGACCAAATTGATGCATTAATCATTCAATGTCTCAGTACAAAAACAAACAAAAACCATTCTCCAATTTATTCGAAATCCTTTCCCTATCATTCGAGGAGAATAATCTTTGCTTCAAATATTATCATATTTACTTCATCATATTATCGTATTGTGTTTATAATATTATATCCAGAATAAAATATCAGATTTCATAATTCTGAAAAGTTGCGATTTTTTGTAGGAGAGCAATGAATCATCAATTCTCATGAATAAATCAATGGAATACAGGGGCTGAATCAAAATATCACTTTTTTCCTGTACATTTATTTGAGGAAAGGATAATTCCCCTCATCTTTAAAGCTTTTGATTATTGTAAAGACTCCAGTATGAAAACATTTTGAAAATTTGTTATTAAAATATTAAAATTCACAGCTTCAAAATAATTCATGCTTTAAAATGATACATTGATATGTGATACAGTCCCTAACCTTACAGGCCATGTCATCTAAAATCTATTACAAAAAATTGTTTATGTACATATTTAGTCGTATCCATTGCAGGTCAAATAAAAGTAAATATTTTTGTTGATATTTTTTGTGAAGAAACACCATCAGATATTTTGTGACATTGAATATTACCCCAAAAATTGAAATCCTTAATTTTATATGTGAAGTTTTACCTTATCCTTGTACCTTGACATTTTTAGCTTGATTCCAACATATTTCTGTTTCATTTATACACATGCACACCCCTTGCTTATTTCTCAGGTTTTGGGATATTTCACACCAAAGCACTATATCACACCAAATAGATCACACTATAAAAACTTTAACAAATAGTATATTGATCCAATCTAATCTAATGATAATGAAGAAATCGGGGTAGATGATGTATAGTTAATCCTATCTCAGTGAACACCTTCTACATGAACACATGTGAACACTGTCTTCTGTTATGAATATATGAAAATTACATTGTACCCTGTTGAATGTCTGCTTGCCCCTGTCAAAAGGGTGAATATCGAAATATTTTTAGCATGACAGAAAAATGGGATTTTGGCTCATTTTGAGTAAAAAACTGGAGAGATCACTGAAGACTAATTTAAAGTGAACATTTGAAGTAACATTGAAGTTTTAACGTTCTCACCATGGAAGTACTAGAAGTTTGAGAAATACATACATCTTGAACTAAGAGGTGTTAACACTGTAAAATTGCAAACATAACTGAGGTGTTCATAGCTTAAAAGCGATCACATAACTGAGGTGTTCATAGCTTGAAAGCGATCACATAACTTAGGTGTTCAGATTATAGAAATCATCACATAGTTTATGCTTATAATGCTTAACAGGTGTTCACATAACCCTTGAGCTCACAACTAATGTGTTCACATTTTAGCGGTGTTTGTTCATGTAATAATGTATATCATTCAGAAGGTTAAAGCCTTACTTTAGCAGACAGTTCAAATGAGTGTAGGGTAAGTTGTAATAACATTGGAGTTTATTGATTGTGTTTGACTGTCAAGATTAGATATATTTTACGTCAGTTGAATGTTATGAATCAGCACTGGATAATCACTGGCGGGAGAAAACTGTATGTTGTATTGTGGAACCTATAACATTGCATGATTCAGGATATTATGGTGAATATTCATGAAAGCTGTCTATGGAGGGAATTTAATTGCATCAAGCCTTCTGACCCCCTAGCTATTTCTGGTTCTTTTGTAACGAGAGAATAGCAGAGGACTAAGGTTGAATTTTGTGTTTTTAATTTATAAGGTTATTATTACTAGATCATTTATTTTCAAGAAATAATTCTTTTGTAATTTTTTCTTCAGATCCCGGTAAGAAGAAAGAACATGAAGAAAAGGTGAGAAAAGCCCGTGAGGAACAGGCCCAGGAGCGGGCGAGAAAACTCCGTGAATTGCGCGAGGCACAAAAAGCTGCGATGGAGTTTAGAGATAAGCAGCAAACAGAACGAAGAAAGAAAATCGAAGAGATGAAACGTAGAGATGACTCACGGCGACAAGCTGTTGAGGAGAGACGGAGGAAAGTTGAAAAGGAAGAAAAGGTATGTGTTCTGTAGATATGTATGTAAGTTGTCTTGCATCGAATCTCATTTTACCCACCCCCTTCCCTATTTATTTCCTTTCCTTGTGTTATGTTAGATTAAGAATGGGGTGGGGAAGAACAGTTTTTGATGAAAGACTAATATGTGTGATGTGTCCTGGAACTGAAGCAAAGTAGAAGGAGTAGCAGTGAGATTTTCCTTTAGGATATAAAATAATTTACCATTTTGCTTTTGCCACACCTGAATGAGAACAAGATTGTTGCTAAATCTGCACGTCTTCCAAAGTCAGACATTTATAATAGGCCAAGATGGGATTGACGACGAATAAGAAAACTGTTCTTTAATCATACTGGCATATTAGATTTATTCGTCATTATTTATCTGAGAATTATACTTGGGAGTGTTCTATCTGACTCAGCATGCTAATATAAAGCACATATTAGAATGCATTAGTGTTTTCCAATAGGACATTATTCCACAGGAACAGTTCCTCATTATCATCCAAGCCTGTCATCTCATTTCCATGCAGACAGTCATAGCCTGGAACCCATGTGGGTGGTCATGTTTCAAAATTCAAAATAAAGAAAAAATGGGTGAAATTAGAGAGGAAAGCAACACTTAGGTATGTAGACAACACTTCACATTATAAAGTTATGCAAGAAAATCTCATAATTTATTCAAGTTTTTGAGAGAAATAGTGTGAAATAAGCATGAGCAGACGGACTTCAAGCACAGGAATCTATTCACAACAAAAAACATCACCTTGGGGATTATCTCATATAATTAGTCCTAGAATAGTCTTAAATCACAAAAGACAATCTATGAAGAACACAAGAAAAACATAATGTTCAAGAAGCATACTAGGACATATGTTCTGTGTTACTGAAGCAAGCAAGTTGACCTGACAGCTAAGGACATTGCAGACAGTGAGTCACCTCCAGCAATAATAGATGTGGCGCTTTTATGTCTATATTGGAGAATAATTTCATTATATATTACTTTTCCATTCTACAACTTGTATTCCTGACTTTAATGATTAGCCCATTATTTTTGTACTGGACTTTATTATGTCACGACTCACCACCACAAGTGGTGACAAATTGTTTTTGTTTGTGCTTGCATACCTATTTTCTCATCATGGATAATTTTCAATTGTTTATTGATAATTTAAGATGTCATCACATAAATATTGAATGAAATTCATTCAGGTCTACCTTTGTTAATCATGGGTTTAATCTTGCATACTAAATGCCACTGTCTCCATGTTATTTAAAGGCTCTGTTGAAGCATAATCTTGCATACTGAATGCAACTGGCACCAGATTATATAAAGGCTCTGTTGAAGCATAATTTTGCATACTAAATGGCAATTGCTACTCTCACCAGATTATTTAAAGGGTCTGTTGAAGCATAGTTTTGCATACTAAATGGCAATTGGTACTCGCACCAGATCATATAAAGGCTCCGTTGAAGCATAATTTTGAATACTAAATGGCAATTGCTACTCTCACCAGATCATTTAAAGGCTCTGTTTAACATAATTTTGCATACCGAATGCTATTGATACCAGATCATTTAAAGGCTCTGTTTAACATAATTTTGCATACTGAATGCTATTGATACCAGATCATTTAAAGGCTCTGTTTAACATAATTTTGCATACTGAATGCTATTGATACCAGATCATTTAAAGGCTCTGTTTAACATAATTTTGCATACTGAATGCTATTGATACCAGATCATTTAAAGGCTCTGTTTAACATAATTTTGCATACTGAATGCTATTGATACCAGATCATTTAAAGGCTCTGTTTAACATAATTTTGCATACTGAATGCTATTGATACCAGATCATTTAAAGGCTCTGTTTAACATAATTTTGCATACTGAATGCTATTGATACCAGATCATTTAAAGGCTCTGTTTAACATAATTTTGCATACTGAATGCTATTGATACCAGATCATTTAAAGGCTCTGTTTAACATAATTTTGCATACTGAATGCTATTGATACCAGATCATTTAAAGGCTCTGTTTAACATAATTTTGCACACTGAATGCTATTGATACCAGATCATTTAAAGGCTCTGTTTAACATAATTTTGCATACTGAATGCTATTGATACCAGATCATTTAAAGGGTCTGTTAAAGCATAATATTGCATACTAAATGCTACTGGCTTCAGATCATTTAAAGGCTCTGACAGTATTGATTGATTATTTCACTCTCACAATTAATAAAATAAATAAGGAAATACAATATATAAATTGTCAATTATTGCTGAATTATTGTTTTCTGTCTCTGATAATTAACAATCATTTCATAGATTTATTCATGGATAAATCGTGTTATCTCATTTATTTCAACAGATTACTAAGGAAATTATCTCTATTATAGGAAATTATTCTGCACTCTGAAACATTATTATATGTAATTGTACTCAATCAAATCAGAACTTTTATAATTTATGCAAAGATAAGTAATATATAGTGAAGTGTGTAAAAACCCAACTGCATGTACATGTACTTGAGCTTCGATCAATGAAGTTGATCATAGGAAAAAGTACTTGATAGCTCAATGATGACATATACTTATTACCTCTTATGACAAATATGAGAAGACTTTATGTTGAGATAGACTCTTGATACAGAAGTTTTCCATGAATCCAAAGCCCTCTGACTTCTATGAATCTATAGTTATGGATGCCGATGATAAGATCAGTAAACCATAAGATCTTATTAATCTCAAATGTATTTTACGTGGTCTTGCACTATTTATCTTTGATTACTAGCTCCTAGGCAAAACTATAATACAGTAAAACCTGTATATCCAAACACCTCTCAAATCTGAACACTTTCACCATCCCAATTTGGTTTTCATCCATCAACTCACTATTAACAAAACTTGAAATGCGAACACTAGATAATCAGGACACTTTTGGCCAGTTGTGGCATTTGGATCAAACATGTTTCCCATATAGTGATTTTCCTACCATGTAATCTAATTGGATATAAACAAGATCAAAGACTTACTTCTCATTTAGAGGATGTACACATTTCAAGCTCTTGAAAAGGGTAGTAAAATGTATGTGACTCACCAATTTTTTTTTTATTTGAGGCGTAACATGTCTGATGTGGTTACATATTCTTGTAGAAATGCCTATAAGCTTCACTCAGTCGAGTTATTAGCTTCTGATGTATCATTTACATAACCTGCTGAGAGAGAAAACAATTCTCCAGAATAAAACATATGACCTCATACCTTCTGTAACATTGAAAAGATATACAGTAGAACCTATACAGTGGAACACTTCCCAAGTAGAACACTACCTTGAAATTCCAAAAGTTTTCATTTACATATTTCATTTTTACTGTATAGCTGACCGCTCCAGAATTTATTTATGAGTGATATAAAAGTTGTTCATTTTGTAGGTCAGTTTAAGTCACACACAAATGGTGACATATTGTTATCGTCAACAACTTTTTTGTGGATGATGTTTGATGGCTGATGTTCAGCAGTTGGTGTTTAATGTTCAGCATTGGGGGGGGGGGGTCAGTGTTTGTAACAAATTGCAGGTGGTATCACTTTGCATGTTAATACCTTGTTTAAAATTGTTATTGTCTTCTGAAGAGACACATTTCAGCCTATCATTAGTCTTACATTTAGCCTCTGGGCCCCTTTCCTTGTGCTCTTCATTTCGCTTGTGCAGGATGTTTGAGAGGGGATTGGAGGGGGGGGGGGGGTGTGGGCATGAGTGCTTAGCAAGAATGACTTGAAATTCAAGCATAAACACAACTTTATAAACCAAGAATCTCTGGACTATTATAGTAGGGATGTAGCCTTTGTTCTTGACGCAATATTGATTTTGGGGTGTATGTTTCACGAGACTGTATGTGTAAAAGTTGTCTTAAGCTATTGATTTCTTATCTGTACTATTGGAAAAAATGTTTAAGTCAATGAAGCTAACAAGATCTTTTAGGTTAAAGCATTGAATCATATAAAGTTATAGTGAACCAATAGATTAGATTCATCATGTTCTTTTTGTTTAATATGACAAGTTCGTAGATGATCTGGTCGTACTTGTTCTTATCACTCCTTGAAGTTCATACCCTGGGCTTAGTTTTTGGTACGATTGTAACTTACGATTCTGAGAAAACCATTGTCTACTTTTTGACAAACAATGACTTGCAACCAAATCATAAGTTACGACAGTTTCAGAAATGGACCCCTGAGCCCGAGAAGCTAGCAGGAATCTATGAAGCTCTTAAAGATGCAAAATCAACTCTTGAAAAGGGTATATATTTTCATCATACTGTTGGTATATATCTATTATTCTGTTAGTTGATTAAATTGGTGTCATATTGTTATAGTCTCCAAATTTTTTGTAGATGGTTTTCGATAACTGGCATTCGGTTTTTGCCTCTGTAACAAATGGCAGGTGGTAACAATTTGTATGTTAATGCCTTGTTACCCTCTGCAAGAGAGACTATCTGACTTAAACTCTCCATATTACTGATAAACATGGAGCTCAACCAACAAAGAACATGTCATCTTCTTATGTGTGCTCTCTGATTGGTTTAATGCCAAATTGTACAATAACTGGTTTTATTCAGAGGATGGTACACTAGCCAAAGAGCTCAGGGTTGTGGAGTGTTTGATTCTGGATTCTGCTGCATCTAAAGATATCACTGTAAATTAGTTAATGTAAATAACATCAAAGGATCCAATCAGTCTGGACATTTAGCAATGTATTGACTTGAAAAACAAAACTGCTCAACTGATTAACTCTGAGAATGTGTATATGGTCTGTGAAAACAGTGACCACTGTGTGCAGTATGAGAGATGCTATTGCTGAGGCTAATCCAGTTTAGATTTTTAGCAATGATAATATCTGCTCCTGTAGATGAAAAGTTCAGAATGGTCAAGTATTATTCTAGTCTTGTATAAATTCCCTGTTCTCCCTCCTCCATTAACCTAGGTGAGTTAGAGAATGGG